TCATACTACATTGACATGGTAAAAAATATGTTGGTCCCCGTCCCTCATTTGATTAGAAAACAAATCAACACAATCATCATAATAAATCTCATAATGCAATGGGAGATCGTTCTCCGCCACAAACGGCTCACTCCAGAAATCTCCTCCGGTGAGATCTTCATACATTGCCAAAGAACACGGTCGGAGACAAACGTCCTCCACACCGCTGCCTCCGACATTTAAGCTCGACGTATATCCATTGTCAACAACCGGGCTGGTCGAAGACAATTCAATCATCGACGGTGTCATCGGAGACAAGGCCGAGCTACCCAGTATCATATTGAAGGAGGACAATTCGATAGTGGATGGTATCGTCGGAGACAAGGCAGAGCTTCCCAATTCGACAGTCGATGATGTTACTGAGGGAGCCAAGGCCGAGCTCTCAAGTATCATGTTGGGTGGGATATCAATACATATGCTTTCGGCTTCACCATCAAAACCGTGGGTGGATAAGGATTCACTTCGGGATTGATCCGCGGATGATGTCGGATTACATTTTGCACGTGCTTTTAATCTAGTGTGCCAGTGATTTTTTATTTCGTTGTCGGTTCTTCCCGGTAAACTGGCAGCGATCTTCGACCATCTGTGTTTTTTCATATTTAAGACATGGAATTTTGTTGACTAAAATACTCAGTGTATCAGCAACATGACGATTGCATGCTTGCGTCAGGCTCCACTATATTATTAATCCAGCTACATGATTATCAACACCTACCATACCTATAGCTTTAATTTTCTTATTAATTTATACATTTTTAGATTTATTTTACGGTTGAAACTGAGTCGGAAGTGAATTAATTCGACTTCCCACTCGATTTTCAGCTTAAATTAGAACTGACCTGTTTCCGTACTCTCGGTGTAATTTCAAGATTAAGGCATCTTCTTCTTCGGTAAACCTTCCATGCTTCACTTCAGGTCGGAGGTAATTCATCCACCTTAACCTGCAACTCTTTCCGCACCTTTGAAGACCTGAAGAAAATTTAGCAAAATTAGGTCCTTTTATGAACATCGATAAAAATATTAACACTTGATTGGATAAGAACAAACAAAGGCAGTTTTAGTCTTTTAGCTAAAGGATTGAATAAAATAGAAAAATGGGGGGAAAGGAGAAAACGAAAAGCCCACTCCTTTTGATGCCCACTAGCTATAGAACAGCAAAGCCTTGAATCAATAAGCATTTCATTTGATGGTCTAAATTTTAGATTTTAAAAATTTACTTGTAGTGAATTATCAAAAACCAAAAGTTCAAGCCCTTATATTTATAGAAGCTCATGATATCCTTTATGTTGAATGGGACATAGCTTAAGGGGTTGGTATGTAAATAATTTTCTTTGCTGATGTGGGATTTAAGTTGTTTTTGTTGCGTAGCTTCCATAGCTTTGGTTGGTTATTGTTGGCATTGTAGCATTATTTTCTGCTTTCTTGCTAATAAAATTCAATTATCTAAAAAATTAAATCACTCGTTTAATACTTAAATTATCAATTTTGATATATTTTAATAAATTACCTAACATTTAATTTTTTTATTTTAATACATCGTCGTTAAAAACTTAACGGCACTGTAATTTTTTATCAGTAAATTTATCATTCATCGCTCAACTATTTTCTCATTCTGAAAGCATAAGTGGGCCAATGCGACAAATAAAATAATGATGAATGATGCAATTTACCCATAAAAGGGTGTCACGTGCAAATCATTTGTTAAATTTTTAACTGCGGAAAACTAAAATGAAACAAAAATTAATCAATATGTATTAAAAGTTTATGTACTAAAACAGATCAAAACTGATAATTTAGGTAATAAATACACAGTTTACCCAAAAAAAAATAACTCAAATCATTATTTCTCATTCTATCATAGTTAACGTCCTAGTTAACCACTCATTGTATGTTTAGATAGAGAAAAAAGTGAAGATCCGTTCTTCAAGAAAAAGATGGCATTGAACAAATCAGATAATATAGATCGTTTTCATTAGTCGAAATGGAAGCATGGATTACCAGCTTGCTTGGGTAGCTCACGCCAGTTCCTTCCACCAAATCTTTGGATATAAGACCGTAGTTTCTCATCTTCTTCAGCACTCCAAGCACCTTTCTTCACTCCATTTTCATCATAAAAAGGACCCCTCACCATCTTTCTGCTTTTCCTTTGATTTTCTCTCTTCGAGTTCGAGTTCGAGTTCGCAGCTACAGAGCATCAAAACACTGTATCTCCATGACCCTGGTTTGAAATTTTCACCGTGTTTAGACCCTGCAGTACAAGGGCTCCCAGCCCCATATATTAAGGATTTAAGAGACTGGTCCCTTTCTAAAGGTACTACATACAAAAGCTGTAGAGGGTATATGATAACCGTTAAAAGAAGTAACCAATGAGACCTCTCCACGCGTCACGTGTGAAAAGATATAAAAAATTATCGAATCTAGTGAGAAAGATTTAATATTTTTTATTGATGTTAAAGCGATGAATCTCCATACACCCAACCCACGTAGGGTTGAAAACTCTTTTGAGTTATGAAAATAGCAATTGCTAAATGCCATATCCCTCGCGTTATCTCACCTCCTTTGTTTGTTCCTTCTACTTTATTCACTCAATTATCAGTACAAAATATAAAATAAATTTGAATTATATAATAATATAAAATTTTAAGGGTAAAATACGTTTTTAGTACTTAAATTATTATTTTTATCCGTTTTAGTACTTAAACTTTCAGCTTTTTCAAGATCATACCTAACGTTTCATTTTTATTTTATTTTAATACTTGTCGTCAAGAATTTAACGTTTTTTATACATAAACTATTAATTTTGACCCGTTTTTACCACGTTAACTTTTTATATATTCTGTGGAGCTGACTGTGTGGGAAAGTAATACTTTTGAACTTTAGTGCTGCTGTCCACAATTAAACCATCCACATTATTTTATTTGTCGCATTGGCCCACCTATGCTTTAATAAATCAATTATATCTATTAGGAAGAGTCTGGACACCATTTAATTATTATCCCCACCCGTCAAATTTAACATTTAATTCTTTATTATTAAAGAATCTATTAAACATTTTTTTTATAAAAGAGAATCTTATTTCTCTAAAAATATCGAATTCGAATAGTTACGTCTAGTATTTTCCTATCGCATTGGACTCTAAAAGCACCTGAGTGGGGAGTAAGACTATAAATAAGACGAGACAGATCTCGATCAAAGTTCAATAAATACTTGAACCGAGCTCGAAAACTTAATGAATCAAAACGAGTTACTGATACTAGACTTGAAAAACACGCGAGCAACTCGAAAATATAATATGTTAATATTTTAAAAAAAATAAAATTATTAATAATATTAACATTAAAATGTCGATTTTTTAAATGCAATATAAAATTTTAATTTATTTAAGATTCAGGTTTCAGTTTGAACTTCAATCGAGTTAAGTTAATTTTCTTTTCATTTCGAGCTTTTACGAGCTTCGATTAATGCTTTTGAGTTCGAGTTTAAAAATTTTATGCTCGCGAGTTTTGAAACCGAGTCAAACTCTATTTTAAAATTTTCGAATGTAGTTAAATTCATAAATATTCGAGCTCGATTCAACTCGTTTACCTCCTAGTAGGAGGAGATGAGCCACCTCTATTAAGGGGGAAAAAACCTTTTACCAGCAGTTTTGACACCTCTTTGCTAACATACGGAATTCAATTATCATACGTATTTAAAATTTAACTTATATATATATTAAAATATATTAAAATATAATTTTAAAAATAAATTATGAAATTTTATTTATTTTTTATATTCTATTAAAAATAATCAAAATAAAATTTTAATTATATTTAAAGAATCAAATAAGATATTATCCATTAATCTAATATATTATAGCTTAAGATCTTAACTATAAGTAAAGGTAATTAGTAGCGTAATATCTATTTTATAATAAAAAATTATAATCTTTTAAAAATTAAAAATATTATTTTAACATAATTTAGTCACTATTTATATATTTTATCTAAATATAAATTCGTGCAAAACAACCCAAAAGCGTGTAAAAAGTCGTAATTTCGATGTCACACTTAGTTCGTCATTCATACCAGAATCAGCAATGCTTACGATATTAAATATAGGTGTTATGGAGCATTTGATTCACGTGTTGAAATACTTTTTCAACATTTTCCCACTGCTAAAATACACGGGATTAATTGATTACTAGTGCCTGGTTGTTTTCGGTTGATTTATCAAGAACCATCCGACAAAATTTTATCTTGTGATTTGAAAGATGCCCTTGTGGTTATCATATAACATGTTTTTTTTTATGGACAAAAATTGATGACTAGATTTGATTGATGCCAAATGATGATGTCTTATCTTATTTTTGTATTAATTTAATCTCAAAATTTGTTTCATTATATCATTCTATATTAACTCTTAACTTAAAATCTTAAATTATAAGTTTTAAGTTAAAGTTTAAGGTTATGGTTTAGGGGTTATAAGATTAACCCTAAATCATACACCGTAATATCTAAATCATAAATTTTAAATCCTAAACTGTATCTTAATATTTATGATTTAGGAGTAGGGTATAGAACGATATAATTAAGTAACTTTAAAGGTTAAATTGATGCAAAAATACAATAAGGGTGAAAATGATAAATTGAGTCTCCTATAGAGACAAAGGTGATCATTAAGTCCTTTTTTAATATAAAATTTTATAAACTCGTCCTTAGTAAAAAATTATGTGTTTGTTTTCAGGGTGGTGATTAGGTTAATTGGATTCAAATAAAAAAACTGAACGAATTGCGAATATTATTTTATGTTCAAATTTTATTTCGATTTTTTTTTCAATTTGAATTGTTTAAAATTATCTTTAAATTACATATTAGATCCAATTTAATGATTTTTTAATCATGTTAAATATACACATATATTTGTTTCATATTTCTTTCCCATATAATAGTAAAATTTATAATCACTATACTTTAATAAAAAAAAATATAATATTATTTAATGAAACAAATGTCTTCTAAAATTATAAATTATTTTATAATATTAGTTTTAAATAAAATACTGTCAGAGAAAAATATTTATAAAGAAGTTCAAACGAGTCAAATGGGAAACAAAAATCTAAAAAAAAAAATCAATCAAATAATCAAATTGAATAAAGTAGAATAAATTATGAAAATAAAAAAATGGATAAAATGTAAATATATGTAGGGTAAAGTATATAAATGGTATCCCAATTATAGAATATTATTTTATTGAGTCTCATAATTATAAAAAAATCACAAAATGGTTCTCATAGAATGTTATTTTTTTAGTCCCCCGATTGTAAAAGTTATAAAATGATCACTTGATTATTCATTGTATTCCAAATTCGTCATTTGTTATTAAAAAATTGACGATAATCTGAGCTGAATGTTAATTTTCTATCTAAGATATAATAAAATCTGATATCAGAATCTCAAAACAACTATTATATCACAAACAACAAATTAACATTCAACTCAAACCTTCATTATTTTTTTAACGAAAAATGACGAATTTGTAACATAATAAATAGTCAGATTATTGTTTTATAATTTTTAATAGTAGAATAACTCAACAAAAGAACATTCTATAATTAAGAGATAATTTTATAACTTTTAATAATCGAGAGACATGTTAAAACACTATCCTATATTTAGAGACTATTTGTGTATGTTACCCATATACGTGTTGTGGACCACTGATAGATCTTAATTCTTGGCCGCCTATTCCTTGGGGTCATAATGCTATTGACCACGTTACTGTTGAAAACCACGTGTCACATGTGTGTTCATTGACGTTGTTGCCCTCGGGCTCGAACATATCATAATATCATGCCAGCAAACAGTCTGAGCTAAGCAGGTGATCTCATTGCTTGTGACGTAAGCAAAACTCATATATAATTTATTAAAATTAAATTTAAATATTTTAAAACTAATATAAACGACCTAAAAGGCTCAAACAGACGTGATGCCTCTTATAATATTATTTATTACAATTTTTTAAAAAGAATATAGAGGATAGTATATACATTAAATTATTTCTAAAAAAAGTTTAACTAGATTTAAAGAGAATTAAGTTTAAAAAATATGGCTAATTGTTTGATTGGTACTTGTATTATGTTAAATTCTTTAATGTCATATAAATCATTTTCTTTTATTTCAATTTCGTACATGTAATATTCTACTATCGATCATTTTGATCACTTCATAATAAAATTTGACGTGTCATAAATTTAAGAGTCTATAATTTTTTTTCTCTCTAAAATCTCATATTTTACAATTAATTAATGAAAATTTTTACTATACTATTTAGGTAAAACGCCTTTTGTAACTTCTCATGTATTTTATTATCGACATGGTAAATTTTCTTTTATGTTTGTTGTTTTACCTGAAAGAAATTTTCATATAAAATCTTTTTTTTATTTATTCCTTATTATTTCATTATAAATTATTTGTCATTATTCATAACATTTTATTTTATATATATCTTTTAAAAAAATAAAGCTACTTGAGATTGATCCCATTTTACCACAAAATTTAGAGGTTCTTTTGAAGAAAAAAGTAGTTAGTGACTAAATTAAGGAGAAATATAAAATTTGGGGACTAAAACCGATTTATCCCTTTGAGTAAAACTAAAGGTTGCTGTTGGCCTTTTATTAGGGACAGAGTGGGAACTTGGACTCCTTTTGTCGTCTAGTCAACTACGGATGCAAATAATGTTATGGGCCCTACTTTAGAAAAGGTTTAAATATTATGGGCCCCAACTGCTTATCAAAGCTTGTCGTAATTAACCAAGGACACGTGATTACCTTATTCATACGACAGCCATCGACTTCGACACTTCCCACATGTTCCATGGCATCCTCAACGCCGTATGAGGCAACATAAAATAGGCTTTAGACCAACAATTTTCCACCTTCTTTTTGGTAATAAATTTGTGTTGGTGCACTAACCAAGTGATCTCGATGATAAACGAATTATTATTATTTTCTGAGGTTTTGGGTTCGAGCACCAAGAATGATAGAAGTGAGAGCATTTTATGTCAAATAGTTAAAAATTATCTTTGAACAGATACTGCATTATATTTATATCAGATTAATAAAAAATTGTATTGATTTCTCAAATATTAAATCTATTGTATTTATTAAATCAAGTGACAAAAAATTGATATCTTTTAAGCAAAGTGAGTTTAAATATTTTAAATGAAAATTTCGTGATTTTTT